CTCCTCCTCCTCCTGCTCCTCCTCCTCCCCCTCCTTCTCCAGGCCCCCCCGCGCCCCCTGGCAGCTCCTGTCCCGCCCACTCCTCAAATGCGATCCGCTCCTCACGTCTGCCAAACGTCTCGAAACACGCTAAAGGAAAAACAAACATCTGCATCATGCTCATTCCGATGCCTCTTCTTGGGGTAAGACCTAGTCAAACTGGCCAGGTGGCTGGCACGAAACTGCCGCCGGCACGCGGATGCACGGGCGGGAGGGTCCGGCTGCTCCACCTCACCCTCCCCCACTCGTTCCCTGGCCCCAGACCTCCAATCATCGAAATAAATAAAAAAAACGGCGGGAAATGTTCGCCCATCTTCGCCTCCTGGCGGCCCTCGCCGGGCCCCGGGCCCAGCAAGAACGACCCGGGATGAGCTGCTGGCCCCGGGGAGAGGGTCCAGACCTCCGGAGGGCCACGTAATGAGGAACCGACGTCGGCTGTCTGGGTCCCTCGTCCTCCCTCCTGCCCCTCCTTCCCCTCCTCGCCACCATCCACCCTCCCTCCACCTCCCCCTGCTGTGCTTGCGCTGTCCTTCCCGCTCCCCCCCCGCCTCCGCCGCGAGTCCCCCACCGCCGCCACGGCCGCCACTGGCCGACACAGGGAGCGCTGGACCCGCATCGCCAGCAGCTGCTCTTTTGCGCGGCACGCACGCGTTCACCCTCGCCGCCCCGTCCCCTCCCCCCGTCCTCCTCGCCCTGGTGAGCTCCCCCTCTGGCGTTCGGTCCGGCCTGTCCTCCTGCGGGGGGGGGGTGGTAGTGGACGAGACATCAAGCACGGCCCCCCAAAAATCCCCCCACGTGGAAAAAACAAGCGCGCAGCAACAATCGTCCCCTGATTATTTGTTGGACTATTTTTGAATATATTTCTCCCCCCTCGTAGGGGGGACAAGCCCGACTCCACCCTGGTGCCTCCTCCCTCCCGCCCGTGCCGGGCGCCGCGGGCCTTGCGGAACACGTCGTGCCGCGCCGCGGTGAGCCCGTTGCTGCCCATGCCGCTGTTGTACTCCCGCTCGTAGGTGGCCTCCGTGTCGGAGCGCGCGCGCGGGCGCGCACGGGCCCCTTTTCAGCGCACGGGCCAAAGGGGGCTGCAGTCCAACTCTCTCCCCACTCGATGCTACACTGCTGGTGCGACCTGCCTGCCCACCCACGTGCTAGCTGCTGCGCTGCGTTGCTACAGGGGGTCGAGAGCTCCAGCATGTATGCAATCAACCAATGCCCGGAACATGCAGGATGCCTCAGCACTCCGGGGGGGCGGCGGACGCACCGACCGCACGGGCGCAGCCGTGGCGCAGGCACCGAGCAGGGACCGACCGCCCCGGCAGTCCCATCTGAAGGGGAACTGGGACACGCAGATAGATACACACACAAACGACCGGATTCCCAAATTTTTTCTTATATTTTCCGGGCATCTGTCTTCCCCCCACTTCCCATATTTCCTGGGGAATCGACGATGAATGGTGTCTGTGTGTTGTCTCCCCTCCTGACTATCATCCTACCACGAAGTGTTCTTGGAACCCAAGAGTGTTCCCAAGGGCAAAGGCAATGTTCTCAGAACATTCGACCCGACGTGTTAGAACAAGACCGTCCCAGCCAGAAATGGTCTCAGAACGTTTCGTGGAAGCCGCAAAAGGTTCTTACAACATTGTTTGTCTGGAGTCCCGAAACGGTGCGGTGACAGACCGTGCGGTGACCTCGAAATCCCCCAAGACCTCACCGCACGGTCTGTCACCGCACGGTCTTGGGACCCCGGAGGCCCCAGTTGCCCGAGGCGTCCTCGGAGAACGACCCGAGTCCCAAGACCGTGCGGTGACCCCGAATCCCCACCGACTCACCGCACGGTGTGGTCACCGCCCCGTTTGGGGACCCCCGAGTTTGGTAGGGCTGTAGGCACGCCGGGACGCCTCGCCACTGCTTGAGAGCAGGGTCCGAGGAGGGGTCGGCGACAGACGGCGGAGCACCTCGGACGCACGTCCGGGCTGCAGGGCACGTCCGAGAGAGGGGTGCGGCCGTAATGCTGCACCCTGACTCCAGATCCGCCCTACTTTCGGGAAATTCGCAAGTAGGGCTTGGAATGTCCGCCTTACTTTTCAAGCCCCGCTGATGCCGATCTCCGCCCTACTTTTCTGCTGCTGTTTCCGCCCCACTTCTGTGGATTTCCGCCCTGATTTATGTTGGCCGCAGAAATTTCCGCCCCACTTTTATGGCTTCTTACAGGTGGATATCCGACGCAATTCTAAGTTGGGGAAAAAACCAAAGTAGGGCGGGTCTGGAGTCAGGGTGCGGTCGTGAGGCTGTAAGGGGCGGCCATCGCTCGGGCGTCCATTGCCCGTGCACTTGTCGGTTTCGCGCGTGCCTGCTTCGCTGGGTGATCCAAGGTGCTCCTCGATGGTCCTCGCCGAGGACAAATGCACACGTCCGAGCGATGCCAAAATCTGATCGATGATCCCTAGGTGAATTCCCCCTCGAAGCCTCCTCGCTGGCTTTGCCCCGTGCTGCCAGCTCCTCTTCCGTCTCCCCTTCCCTCCCCCTCGTTGCTGCGTTTTTCCAGCGCCGTGGGCGGCTTTGGCGGGCCCAATAGGGCCTTAGGACGGGTCAAGACGGCCCAAGATGGCCCAAGATGGCCAAGACGAGACAGGATGACCCTAGACGGTCTGGGATGACCCACGATGGCCCAAAGACGTCCCCGGATGCCCTCCAGACGGCGCAAGAAGCCCTCAAGAAACCCCAAGAGGATTCCAAGAGGACCACCGCGAGGCCAAAAACATTGATTTTCCTAAGGTTGCTCAATGGTGTTAGCGGTATCGCCTGTTCGGATCTCCGACGCTCCACGACGGCTCCAAGAGGCCCCCGAAAGACCCTCAAGACGGTCCAAGAGAGTACCAAGACGGCCCAAGAGGCTCCCTAAGACGGCCCCGCACACATCCAAGACTCCAAGACGGCCCTAAAGCGCCCAAGGAGGGACCCACGACTGTCACGACTGCCCAGAAAAAAACCCGACGGCCTCCGAAGGCTAAGAGGTCCCGTAGAAGCCCCCAGAACCCCCCAGAGGCCTCCAACAAGCCCCAAGGGGCCCCGCAGAGGCCCCCAAGAATCTCCCAGGAAGCCCCCAGGAAACCACAAGCAAAACTCATGCACGGTGACGGGGTGGGTCGAAGGCCATTGGATGTCATTGTTGTTTTATGTGATTTGTCCCGTGCCTCTTTACACCTGTCTCAGATTATACCGTCTGTGACCGCGCGAAGCGCCACAGAACGCCACCTGAGGGAGAAATGAACATTCTGCCAGATCTAAGACGCCTAAACCTTCTCACGGACCGGCACCGAAGGACATATCCCAGACGGGTACTTTCTGTCCCAGAGCTGTAGACCGAGTCGGACGATGGGTCGGACCCAGAAGGAGCGGCCTCAGCGGGGTCCACCGCCTCGACAAAAACCGCACGACCAGCCTCTTCATCGCCTTCTGGATGGGCAGCACCCCCTATGAGAAGAAGAAGCGGGTTGCCCCGCATGTCGCGTATCACCTGCTCCATGATATTCTCGATTGTGTACTCTGAGGCGGTGATATATATCGAGGCGCTGCCAAATTCGCTCGATCCGATTGACCCTTCTCTCAGCAATCGGCTGGTAGTCAGCTTCAATCAAGCATTCTGCACGTGCATGACTAGCCGGATCCACTCTGCGACCCAAGCCGTCTCCGTGAGACCAGACCAATGGGGTTCTGTCGAAGTTGGGGCTCCTCGGTGGTCGCCCCATCGGACGCGAAGGTCTGCGGCCAGCAAAATGTTCGCAAGGACAGACGGTGCACCAGTAGGTCTTCCGGCCGCTGATGACGGCCCTCTGGAGGCCCCGTCTTTCAAGGTTAGGCAGTGTCTCGGTGCCCTTGCCTCTGTTGGAGCGGACGATCTCACCTTCGCCATTCCGCTCAACATTGCGAAGTGAATACCAGTGACGAATGTCATGCTCGGTCCAGCCTCGGTCGAGCCAGTACTGCACCGCGTTGGGGGGCACATGCTTCGTCATAACTGGCGAGGCGCCGGGCGCCTTTCGTTTCGGGCGCAGCTGGACGGTTATCCAACAGAGGCGGGTTCCCCCGCGAGCGCTCCCTCCTCGGTGGAGTCCTTGGGACCCTTGTGTCAGGAGGATGGGGGCGCTGGGCGCCGCTGGAGCGCGCGCGCGCGAGTGCCCGCGTGAGTGGCCGCGACCGCGGCGCTGCATGCGACGGCCCTCAGCTTCCCATTCGTCTTCGTCGTCAACTGCGCGCTACGCGCGTCTCCAGACTTGGCGACTAGCGGGCCGCCCATGGCGGCTAGGGGACCGCTCGTGAGCCACGAACGTAAGATGATGATCTTCATTCTGTCCAAGTTCGTACTGGACGCGCTCTGTAAATGTCACCAGCATCACGCGAGTTCCCCCGCAAAGGGTCGTCCTCATATGATTATATGTTTGTCGGGTTTCCACTGGCCTGAGGATGGGGCATCAATTTTCTCTCCTCTTCTGTCGCTGGAATTGTAGCTTCAAAATCCGCAGGTGTCCCCACCATATCGTAGTCTGCGTGGGCGGGCACATGGAAATCCCCCACAAACTCGATCTGTGCAGGTTGCCCCGCGACGGGTATGCCTAGCCAGCCTGCCAGGTTAATCTCGTCGTGGCCAACATCGATGTCCTCGAAGAGCTCATCGGCGCATCTCTCGAGGGACATGCTGGCACTTAGATACCTGGCAGCCGCGAAGTAAACAACTGCGGTAGGATTGTCTGCAGGGTCGGCCGATAGCGTCTCCCAACCGACATACTGTATGTTCGAATCGGCTTGAGCCAAATGTATTCACGGACCCCTGCCTCTCCCATCGCCTCGGGGGCATTCACTGCGGAAGTGATGTGTACTATGGCAGATGCCACATTCCATGGTTGTGCCGCTAGCATCTTTCGGGTTGCCCCAACGTCCCGAACCCTTTCCTGAGGTATGCCTACGGCCTCTACCTGTCCCCAGAAATAGTTTTTCGTACTGTAACTCAGTAAGGGATGCCAGGAATGCCAACATGCCTCTGCCATGGAGTCGCCGTCGTTTACCTTTACCCTTGCCTCGACCCTTACCTTTTGATCGAAACGCCCATCGAATAGCACACGTCGTATCTTAGGAGCTGGTTTCTTCATACATCGTCTCCAACGGCGTTTGTGTTTCTGGTATCCTAGAAAATTCGCCGGCCCAACGGGCCACAGGCGTGCTAAGATCTCCGGTGACTGCTAAATAATACTTCTACTTCGCGCGCGCGGGGCGGCCCCTGGGGGTCCCCGGACGAAAAGTACCCCGGGCGATCCCCGGCAGGGTCGGGTCAGAGATGGTTTTCCTCCTGGGCGCCGCCCCCGTGGCCCTCCAGAGAGTCCCAAGAAGGGCCACGAGGCCGCCAAGAGCCCTCCAAGATGGTTCAAGAGTGCTCCGAGATGCCACACGATCGTTCCAAGACGCCCAAGATGGCCCCCAGACGCCCCAAGAGGCCTCCAAAAACACTCCCCAAAGGGCCCCAAGAGGCACAACTCATTACTTTTCCTTAGGTTTTGGGCAAATTTTGGCGTGTCCATCTTTTCGGCTTCCCGACGCCCCAAGACGGCCCAAGAGGCCCCCAAGATCGCCCCAAGAGGGCCCGAGAAGCTCCCAAGAAGGCCCCAAGATGGCCCAAGAGGGCTCCAAGACGGCCCCAGAGGCATCCAAGACAGCCCAAGAGGGGCCCAAGCGATGCCCCAAAAGGGCAACACAAAGCAAAACTTCGAGCCCTCGGCCTGAAGAAACCCCCCAGGAGGCCTCAAGAGGCCCCTGACAGGCCCCAAAAGCCCCCAAGAGGCCCTCAGGAGGCCCCCAAGCGACGCTGAAGAGGCCCCCCAGCGGCCCCAAGAGGCTCAGTCATGCGAAATGGGCCGGCGGAGTGAGCGAAGCAATTCAATTTCAATAACCATTGCGCCTGTTGCTCTTCTGTGAAATATGTAGGCATGTCGGAACAATCTAGGGCACCAGTTCCATCGTCGGATGACGTGTCGGTGTCGGTTTCGGAGTCAAAGTCAGACTCGGCGGGTTGCTCCGCTGAGCCTAGAAGGATAATGGCTTGTGTGGGGGCCGCCGTTGCCGACGGTCCCTGATACCCAGCCCAAGAGTCTTGCGACCCCGTAGGCGGACCAATTTTGGGCCCATAAAGCGGTGGCCTCCGTAGGTTGCAGATCGTCATTCCGGACATTCGTAGCAGGCTGCCCTGCAGTAGTGTCAGCATGAAAGGTTTCGGTGCGGTGACCGTGGTTACAGATACCACCTATGTTGCCAGGAGTTCGCTCAGACATGTGGGTATAGGACCTCATGCGTTCAAGTAAAGCATCAAAATGTTGTTGTTTCTTCGGCATTTGGTGGTTAAGTGGCTGTAGGAGTTGTTGTGCACGCGACGTTCCCACTCATAAGGCTCTGAGCAGAATGGCTATTAGGATTTGGAAGTTGGGGATGTTAAAGCCTGCCGTCTCAGCTTCACTGCGTGCCAATGTCTGGTCGATCCGTTCTCCCGCATGGACGCGAAGGTCGATGAGAGCCGTTCCCGAGTTAAGTTGGCGTTCCTCCTCTAAGTTCTCAAACTTCGTGCTGAGGAGGAACGCGATGTAAGTGACGCCGTCGGTGTGGCGACCACCAATGTTAACGCCAAAACTGATGATTGCGGGGGGACTCTCATGGCTATAGTCCGCGCGAGGCCTCCCAGACCACGCTGCTGTGCTGCAGCTAGTGCCTGTGGTCACGTTGATCCAGGCATGTACCTCTCGAGCGAATTCGCGGAAAGGTATTTGACCGGCCGGGTCCCAGTGGGGGCCGGTTGTTCTTCTGTCATCTCCGCCACGCATGTGCCCCACAGCGCGCCCGATAACGATCCATAGAAGGCCAAAAATAATAATACCAATCAGTGGCCACGTAGGTCGTAATCGGGTATTCGTGGCTGGGGTTTGCGTTGTTTTGTTGTAAGCCTGCGTGGGGGTGGAGGCGGCGCAATATCGTAACGCATGTTGCCATGCATGGTGTCTTCAAAAAGTTTACAAGTGAAGTAGGTGGGTGGACTTCAGGAATGTAGTAGCGCAAGGATGTAGGACTCGAGTAAGAAGCCTCCGCGAGAGCGGAGGTAGCACTGCAAGTGTCCTTGCGGTTGTGCGTAGTTATGTACATTCCTCCGCGCAGACCCATTGCACCCTGATGTTCCACCATGTCAGTAGTCCACCAGATAGCGCCGTGGATGGTGAGGAGTAGAGCTAGAGCTGACCCCCATAGGCCAGCTCCGCTACCAAGTTTGAAGGGGGCTGGGAGGCCCAACCAGAAGCTTCGCCTAAAGCGAAGCCCATGTCCAACTGTTGTACCGTAGTAGCGATAGTCCCAGACGTAGGAGGTCGTCGCGGGAGCGACGGGCCATCTCAAGCGAAAATGTTTTCGGTCTCGATTGCAAGCAGTGTGCCTCGCGATGAGGCACAGTCATATGTTGGCGGCCGGCCGCTTGAGCCAAAGCGGCCGCGGACAAACGCTCGATATCTCTCGCCCTTGTCCCAGCTCACTTCAGAGTGAAAGGGGGTGCTTGGCGGCGCTCTTAAAAGCCACGGCGCGCTCGCTGATAGCGGGATTTGAACTGAAACCGCTACGCCCAGACCGCCACTCTTCGGTGAACCCTCCAGACGTGCCAGCGTGGCCCCCCAGCGTGACCTCCCAGCGTGGCCTCCAAGCGTGGCCTCCCAGCGTGACCTCCCAGCGTGGCCTCCGAGCGTGGCCTCCAAGCGTGGCCTTCCAGCGTGGCCCCCCAGTGTGGCCTCCTATCCGGGCCTCCCAGCGTGGCCTCCTAGCGTGGCCGCCGAAGAGACGACCCCAAGACGGACGAACGCGAGCAAGGACGGAGTAAGACCACTCGGGCACCTTCTCTCTGACTAGTAGTAGTAGTAGTAGTAGTAGTAGTAGTAGTAGTAGTAGTAGTAGTAGTAGTAGTAGTAGTAGTAGTAGTAGTAGTAGTAGTAGTAGTAGTAGTAGTAGTAGTAGTAGTAGTAGTAGTAGTAGTAGTTAGTAGTAGTAGTAGTAGTAGTAGAAATTCCAAAAAAAAAAAAAATTTAAACACTAGTAGTAGTAGTAGTAGTAGTAGTAGTAGTAGGAGTAGTAGAAGTAGTAGTGGTGGTAGTAGTAGTAGTATTAGTAGTAGTAGTAGTGGTAGTAGTAGTAGTAGTAGTCGTAGTAGTCGTCGTAGTAGTCGTAGAAGTAGTAGTAGAAGTAAAAAGGAATCAGTATTAGTATTAGTAGCCGTAGTAGTAGTAGTCGTAGTCGTAACAATATTAAGAGTAGTAGTCGTAGTAGTAGTAGTAGTAGTAGCAGCAATAGTAGTAGTAGTAGTAGTAGTAGAAGTAGTAGTAGTAGTAGTAGTAGTTAGTAGTATAGTTAGTAGTATAGTAGTAGTAGTAGAAAAGCAGTAGTAGTAGTTAGAATGTAGTAGTAGTAGTAGTAGTAGTGTAGGAGTAGTGTGGTTAGCAGTAGTAGTAGTAGCCGGAGTTAGCGTAGTAGTGTCGTAGTAGTAGTAGTAGGAGGGTAGGAGTAGTAGTAGTAGTAGTAGTAGTAGTAGTAGAGTTTAGTAGTAGTAATAGTAATAGTAGTAGCTGTAGGCACAGTAACAGCCGCAGCAGCAGCAGCAGCAGCAGTAGTAGTAGTAGTAGTAGTAGTCGTCGTCGTAGTCGCAGTCGTAGTCGTAGTCGTAGTCGTAGTCGTAGTAGTAGTAGTAGTAGTGGTAGTACTAGTAGTAGTAGTAGTAGTAGTAGTAGTAGTAGTAGTAGTAGTAGTAGTAGTAGTAGTAGTAGTAGTAGTAGTAGTAGTAGTAGTAGTAGTAGTAGTAGTAGTAGTAGTAGTAGTAGTAGTAGTAATAGTATTAGTAGTAGTAGTAGTAGTAGTAGTAGTAGTAGTAGTAGTAGTAGTAGTAGTAGTAGTAGTAGTAGTAGTAGTAGTAGTAGTAGTAGGAGTAGTAGTAGTAGTAGTAGTAGTAGTAGCAGTAGTAGTAGTAGTAGTAGCAGTAGTAGTGTAGCAGTAGTAGTAGTAGTAGTGGTAGTAGTAGAAGTAGTAGTGTAGCAGTAGTAGTCGTAGTAGTCGATAGGTAGTTGTAGTTGTAGTAGTAAGTCGTAGTAGTAGTAGTAGTAGTAGTAGTAGTAGTTGTAGTAAGTAGTAGTATTAGTAGTAGTACAGTTAGTAGTAGTCGGAATGAGGATTGCTGTGCTAGTCGTAGAAACTAGTAGTAGTAGTAGTAGTAGTAGTAGTAGTAGTAGTAGTAATTAGTAGTAGTAGTAGTAGTAGTAGTCGTAGTCGTAGTCGTAGTAGTAGTAGTAGTAGTAGTAGTAGTAGTAGTAGTAGTAGTAGTAGTAGTAGTAGTAGTAGTAGTAGTAGTAGTAGTAGTAGTAGTAGTAGTAGTAGTAGTAGTAGTAGTAGTAGTAGTAGTAGTAGTAGTAGTAGTAGTAGTAGTAGTGGTAATCGTAGTAGTAAGACTAGTAGTAGTGGTAGAAGTCGTAATACTCATAATAGCGGTAGAAGAAGAAGTAGTAGTAGTAGTAGTTGTGGGGGTAATAGTAGTAGTAGTACTAGCAGCAGCAGCAACAGCAGTAGTAGTAGTAGTGGTAGTAGTAGTAGTAGTAGTAGTAGTAGTAGTAGTAGTAGTAGTAGTAGTAGTAGTAGTAGTAATAGTAGTTGCAGTGATCGTAGAGGTGCCCTCCACATGTCATTATTATTAGAAGTATCCTTCTTATGTCTCGTCTCCTTGCATCATTATTGTGTATCCTTTTCCTCCTTCGTATTATTATCCTCCTTGTCCTTGTCCTTGTCGTCACCCTGGGCTTGTCATCGTGGCCCACCCCGCTCAAACGTTCCATCCCCAGGTCGACCCAACTCCTCCCCTCCCCGCCCATCTATAAAATCGGGCCAGCCGCTACCCTCACCAGCAACCTTCTCCACTTAAGCCCCCCCAAGAAAACAAATTTGCACCTTTCCTGTTGCCCCAACTCAACTTCCCATCCCTCTCTTCCCGCCCATCTCCAGGCAGGCCGGCAAGAAGCTCGCCTGTCCGAACGAGGCCAGGCCTACAACCACGTCGCCCTCCTGTATGTTGCTGTTGTCTATGATGTCGCTGCGGCGCACCCGCGCAGTCACGGTCGAGTCCACAATGATGGTCCGAACGAGATCGCCAACATCCGCAGTCTCCCCGCCCGTGGACACGATGTTCACACCATGCTCCTTAGCAGCGCAAAACAAGCATCGCAAGCGAACGGTACACCCTTGACACTTCATGCGCAAAAAAAGGCAGAGAGAGAGACCCGCAGACATTCGTAGGCGCAGCTGACACACGCACACACTCACACACAAGCACACTCTCTCCCTCATTGGCACACAATCACACACAAACAACGGAGAAGACATCGCGATAGGAACACAAAGGGAGGGGACATGATATATACACACAGCGAGGAAGACACAACGAAATGAGGAACAAAGCGAGGGTGAGCAAGGGCGACGTCCTGAGCCCGTTTGGCGGCCACCATGCAGCACGACCGGATCATAGAGATGCGCGGCAGGGATGCGAGGCCCCTGAGCGCCCAGGTTGAGGCCTTCTTCGGGGGGGCTGGCCAGAGAAAACAGCCAAGGATGGGCCGAAGAGGCAAGGATGCAAGGGTATCCTTGACAAATTACCCAGACATCCGACGTCTCGATTTTTTCGAGACGCGGGCCCCCGACCTCCCGACCACTTCCCCGGGACCAGTTTTTCATCCCGAGTGTTTTTTTGACGGTCCCGAGGCCCAGCGAGGGCCCCGAGAGGCTACAAACTATGAAAAACATGTGTCTCGACTTTTTCGAGACGCCCGATGTCTGGGTACTCATCCTTGCGATCCCCTTTGACCGTACGCCACCCTGCCGCCAGGAGTGAGCGGAGCGCCCTCGGATCCTCCATCGTGTGGATGCCACCCAAGCGGCCTCCCCTCCTCCTCCTCCTCCTCCTCCTCCTCCTCCTCCTCCTCCTCCTCCTCCTCCTCCTCCGTCTCCTCCGTCTCCTCCTCCTCCTCCTCCTCCTCCTCCTCCTCCTCCTGCCCCTCCTCCTCCTCCTCCTCCTCCTCCTCCTCCTCCTTCTCCTCCGTCCGTCCGTCCGTCCGTCCGTCCCCGTCGTCCGTCCGTCCGTCCGTCCGTCCCTCCTCCCCCTCCTCCTCCTCCTCCTCCTCCTCCTCCTCCTCCTCTCCTGCTCCTCCTCCTCCTCCTTCTCCTCCTCCTCCTCCTCCTCCTCCTCCTCCTCTCCTCCTCCCCCTCCTCCTCCTCTCCTCATCCTCCTCCTCCTCCTCCTCCTGCTCCTGCTCCTGCTCCTCCTCCTCCTCCTCCTCCTCCTCCTCCTCCTCCTCCTCCTCCTCCTCCCCCCACGCCCGACAGGCCTTCGGCACCCGGTCCATGACCCAAGGATCGTATGGGCCGACCCCGAGGTCCGAGGTTGCGAAAACATTGTCACGTCGGGAAAAATCACGGCTGGAGCCCAGGGCCACATCTTCCTGCGTCATCCTTCGAGCCGGACCGACCTCTGAGGGTCCCGGGGCCCGAAGTGAAGCGAAAGCGCCCGCTGTAGCAAAGATGGCAACGCCAGGATCTCAGGGAAAGGCCACGCAAAGTGTCCGCCGCCCCCTCCCAGGTCATGGGAGGCGTGCCTGACGAGTCGAAGTCTCAGGGGCTCCCGGCCCCTGCCAGGCCTTCCCGCTGGCCCGTCGCGCCGGCCCTGACAACTTACATGGAACCACCCTGCAGGTGCCAAGATCGGGTATAGCCAGGACCCTGGTTAAGGGGAGCCGGTCAGTGATTGGGCCCCGAAGCCCCAAACATGGATTAGAATCACCAAACCAGGTCTGCCGTAGCTGGTGTTTTTTCGGGTGACGGCAATTCCGGTTAGTGGAATGGGACGGGGGGGGCGTCCCCGCTACAGATCACTAAACCAGGTCCCACTAAACCCAGTTCTGCCAACGCCCGACAAGATACAGTCGGGGCGCTGAAGAAGGAGCCCTTTTCCTCGGGGAGGGGCTCGGTGTTCCTTGATTGTTGTGCAGTTTGCCTGAGGTTTCCCGAAGATTTTCCATGGGGAATCGAAGTTCAACTTTTGGGAAAAAGGGGCCTCGCTCCTTATCTAGAGTTCCTTAGGTCAGCGCCCCGACTGTGCAGCTGACAAGATGATCAAGACAATGAGCAATCGAGAAACCTGGGCCAGCTTCCCAAAGGTCTCTTAACACAAACCTGGGCCAATGTCTGTTGTCCACGCTGGAGGAGGCGAACGTGCTCAAAAGACTGGGCCGGCTTTCTGGCAAGAATGCTGGCCCAGCTTTTCGGAAGGAGGTTTCTTAATATGATGCTCGACTGTAGCCTCCAAGACGGTCCAGGCTGGCCTCCAAGACAGCCATCATGGCGTCTAAGATTGCCAAGTCGGCCAAAGATGGCCATCAAGACTGGGCAAGAGGACCCCAAGACAGCCCAAGAGGGCCGCAAAACGGCCCGAGATGACCCAAAACTTAGCCAACGAGGCCCCCAAGACGGCTCAAGGAGGCCCCCAAGAAGCAACCAATTGGGACAAGTCATCACACTTACTTGCCAGAGACAGCCCAAGAGGGCCCCAAGAGAGCTCCAAGACGGCTCCAGGAGACCCCCAAGACAGCCTCGAGGGCGCCCTGACGGCCCAAGAGCCCCAGGCGGCCCCCAAAGAGCACCCAAAAAACCCCACCGGATCCGCAACATATTCCCAAGACGGCCCCTCTGGACCCCCATGCGCTCCCCCTGGTCGCCCCGGCAACGCTTCGGGACACATGGTTCAGCCACAGCCCAGCGAGTCTCGCCTCGATGCTCAGTCCCAAATCCCCAGCGTTCCCACAACGAGTCATCACACTTACTTGCCAGAGACGGCCCAAGAGGGCCCCAAGAGAGCTCCAAGACGGCTCCAGGAGACCGAGGGCCCAAGAGGGCCCCAAGAGAGCTCGAGGGCGCCCAGGAGGGATGCGATTCGCCTGACCTGGGCGTCTTCGATCCGCTGTCCCCTCGTGCGTGGCGTGCTTCGAGTCATCGAATCATCTTCTTCTCGAGCAAGATGGCGAAGGAGCATCATCGAAGGTCACCCGCCAGAGGGAGAATCAGATGCCTCTTCGACCCGCTGGCTTCGAATGATCGAAGTGCAGGGGCCCTTGGACACACAAATAAATAGACACCATTTTCCAATAGTTTCCCATAGTTTCTGAGTTTTTGTCTTCCCCCCCACTTCCCATACTTTCCCATATGTTCTGAGTTCTTGTCTTCCCCCCCACTCTGCATGTGTTCCCACATCTTCTGGGTGTTTGTCTTCCCCCCCACTTCCCATGTTGTCCCATATTTTCTGAGTTTCTGCCTTCCCCCCCACTTCCCATGTGTTCCCACATTGTCTGAGTTCTTGCCTTCCCTCCCACTTCCCATGTTTTCCTGCAATTTCGGGGGAATCGACGACTCGTTGTGTCTGTGTGCCTTTCTCCCTCCCGACGACGGCGTGCCCGGCGTGCCGGACTTCCGAGGCGCCGCTGGCCCCCGCCCAGAAGCTTCCCGGCGGCCCCTCGGCCCATGCCGCTGGCGCCTCGGCGCATGGCGCAGAGCGGCCTTCCAGGCGCCGGGATGGACGATCAAGGCCGGATTTTCGCCGAAAAACAAAGAATACTCCAAAAATAATCCAAAAATAATCCAAACATAGTCTGGGGACTTTTTGTTGCACATGCTTTGACCTTTTCGGGGTATGTTTGGGGGTATTTCGATTTTTTCGTCGAAGATCCCCCTGATGCCCGACTTAAACCACGACGGAGGAACTCCAGGATGGCCGAGATGGCAGAAGATGACCACCAGCACGGCCCCAGAGAGCAGAGCGGCCCAGGAGGGCCTCAACACGACCTCACGCGACCCCCCAGGGCGACCTCCAGAGAGCCCCCGACGGCCCAGGAGCACCCCATGGCGGCCCAGGAGGGCCCGAGGCAGTCCGAGAGAGCCCCGGGAAGCCACCCGAAAGAGGGACACACCCAAAGACCCCACAGAGGTCCAGGACAACCCTTCACGCTGGACCCCATGCGCTCCCGTTTGAAGGGGCCCCAGGACACACAAATAAATACACACAAATAAAAATATTCCCCATATTTTCCAATATTTTCTGGGTTTCTGTCTTCCCCCCCACTTCCCATATTTTCCCATACTTTCTGAGCAATCCAGGATTAATTGTGTCTGTGTGCTTTTTCCTCTCCTGACCGTTGTCGTCCCGACAGCACTTCGGGGAATCAGGATAAAGCTTTACACCCATCGATGTTTGATAACAGGTGCCTTCCGTTTCCACAGTGCCATGTGGCGGCGTGGATTCGCCCGAGGCGCCGTCAAGTCGTAATTCAGTCTGAAGCGCGTGGGGGCGACGATGGAATGCGCAAAGGAAGAGAAGGCCCAGGCAATCCGACCTCAGCCCACCAGTGACATACCTGCGCCTGCTTCGGGTGAGCTGCTTTGAGCAATGGGCACGCGGCACATCACTTTTCCCTCGAGCGTCCCACCCTCCACGCGGGAAGGAGCCTTAAGTCGGGCGTGCCCCCCTACAGGGGGATTTTCGACGAAAAATAAAAAATACACTCAAACAATACTCCAAAATGACCAACAAAGACTTTAAAAAATAGTTCCCAGGCTATTTTCTGAGTATTTTTGAATATTCCCCCTGTGAAGGGACAGGCCCGACTTAAAAGTAGCCGCCGGCATCCCGACCAGAAGGGGGAACGGAAAAAGAGGGCCGAGGCGGGCCCCTCGGCGCCGAAAAAAAAAGGACTTGGAGCTCGAAGCCGCCGCGGTGGACACCGTGGCAGCGCTCCACCCCGCGGTGCCACGACGTCGACGGGGTGCTCGACCTCGCCCCCGGTGGACGACGTGCCGGCGCTGGAGCCCGGAGCGCCAGATGCCGACGCGGTGCAAGGGTCAGTCGTGGTGGACCCAGACCCCCGACGTGATGATTTTTTCGTTGCGTCGACCCCCAGAGGTCCCGACCCTTTCCCCAGGACCGGCTCTGCCTCCCGAGTCGTTTTTTGTGACGCTCCCGAGGCCCGGCGAGGGCCCCCGGAGGCCGAAAATTAGGGAAAACCTCCCGTCATGATTTTTTCATTACTCGAGGGGGTCTGGGGATACCGACGTGATGCTCGAGTCCGTCATGGTGGACACTGCGGCAGCGTTCGACTCGTCCAGCGCCGGGTGCGGACGTGGCCTCCACGCCGCCCATGATATGGCGGACGACGTGCTGGCGCTGGATTCCGCAGCGCTGGCTTCTGCCTGTGAGGAGAGCTCGGCTGTGCCAGGGCTGCCAAGCTTTGGGTCGGGCCTGTCCCCTTCCAGGGGGAGGTTGGGGGGAAAATGAAGAAATAGCCCAAAAACATGCTCCAAAGAGGCCCCCCAAATGGGCCACACATCGTCCCTATACTATTTTTTAAACTATTTCGGAAGGTTCCCCTTGTAGAGGGACAGGCCCGACTTGCGCCAAGCTCTTGCTCCCTCTGGGGCCTGGCCCCTCCGCGGCCAGGGCCCGGCCGGCCCCGGCCGCTCCCGAGAGGCCCGCGGGCGGTCAGGCGGCCGCCTCTGCGGCCACGCGCTGCTGGACGTACTGCTCGAACTTCGCGGCGGCCGCCGCGAAGGAGCCGTCCGCGTCGCTGTCTGCGATCTGCTCGTCGCCGTCGACGATCCGCACGCGCATGTCGAGGTCCACGTCGCCGGCCGCCGCGGCGCCCAGGCGCACGGCCGCCTCGTAGTCGCGCCTCTCGCTCTCGAGCACCTCCTCGAGGGGGCGCGAGAGCTTGCGCTGCCACGCGTCGCCCGTGAGGGGCTTGCCCGTGAGGCCCTCCACCAGGTCCAGGAACGCGGCGCTGTTCCCGGGCCGCCAGTAGCCCTCCGCCAGCGCGGGGCCCACGGCCGGGTTGTCGACGATGGACCCGTGCTCCTCGAGGAAGTGCGCGCGGGTCTGGTGCACCGCCATCTCCGCGAGGACGTAGCCGTGGTAGTAGCAGCTCGCCTCGTCCGAGAGGATGTGGGGCACCGCCATCAGCGGCAGCGGCGCCGCGCCGCCGCCCACCCGCTCCTCGACCTCCGCCGCGAGCTCCTGGATCCGCTCGGAGCAGAGCTCCTCCTCGGGCAGCTCGTACAGGGCCCTCTCGAAGTACGGCACGGAGAGCATCCTGCGCAGGGCGAAGACCGCGTACGGGTGCCGCGAGCGGAGGTCCTCCTCCAGCAGCTCCCACGGCGCCGCGTTGCCCGCGCGGTCCCGCATGTAGCGGCCCCGCCAGGCCGCGTCCGACACGAGCGAGTCCAGGAACATGCTCTGGTTCTCGGCGTAGGCCACGGAGGTGGGCGCCCTCTCCTGCGCGAAGAGCGGCGACGGCTGCACGACGTTGGCCATGTGGGCGGCGTGGCCGGCCTCGTGCATCAGCGTCGTTTTTTTATATTATTATTATTATTATTATTATTATTGTTATTATTATTATTATTATTATTATTATTATTATTATTATTATTATTTTTTAACTTTTTAACAAAAAAATAAAAAAAAATATTTATTTATTTATGCACATATATATATATATATTATATAGGCCTCGTGCATCAGCGTCGTCAGCGCGGTGTGGCCGGAGCCCACCTGCCTCGGGTCCGCCAGCGACGTGAAGTTCGCGGCGGCGGGCTGCCACGAGCCGTCCCCGCGCTCCCAGGCGGGCTGCGGCCAGTGGCAGAAGCCGTTGGAGTACTTCCCCGCCCGGTCGAGCAGGTCCAGCGTCATGGTCGAGCCGCGGAATTTGATGCCCAGCGCGGCGAACGAGCGGGCCCACACGTCGATGGCCTTCTCGAACGGGAAGTACGGGTCGAGCCGCTTGATCACGTCGCCGGCGAGCATGTATCCGGTGTTCCACGGTTCCAGTGCAGCCTCGCCCTTCTCCTCCGCGAGCATCGCGCGCGCGCGCTCCAACTGCGAGCGCGTGCCCACTTCCAGGGTGTCCAGGATCTCGAAGACGCGCGCCTTGCCGAAGCCCTCGGCCTGGGTCACCTTGTAGTCGTAGAAATCGATGTACCCAAGCGCCCGCGCCATCCTGTTCCGCTTCTTCTCGGGCTGGACGACAGGGGGGGATTGGGAAAGGGGGGGTTACGAAATCTGCTGCATGCAGCTGGTTTCGGCCCCGCCAAGGGGCCCATGGAATTCCTCGATACATGGGCGCCTCCGGCGCCGGGAGGCGCCGGGAACAGCGGCTACGCGAGCTGATTCTCCCACCCCCCCTTTGCTATCCCCCCCCTTCGCCCGGCCCGATCTTCACGAGGTCCACGAAGCCGTGCTCGCAGACGAAGGGACCTATGGTGCGCAGCCCGTCGTAGCAGGCCCGACGTGCGGCCTCGTCGCTCTCCGTGCTCATGCGGCTGCGCAGGCCCACGGAGGAGAGCTCCACGAAGCCCTGGCCCGGCAGGTGGGCGCCGAGGCGCATCGCGTTCCGGGCCGAGCCGAGGCCGCCCTCGATCTTCGTGGACTCCTCGCGCAGCTGCTGCGCCTCTGCGCTCTCCATGATGTAGCACTCGAAGGTGCGCTGGAAGATGCGCAGGATCTTGGCCTGCTCCTCCGTGGCCACGCCGCTGCTCAGCCACCTCCTCGTCTCCTCGAGCCGGCTGGCGTCGGCCAGGAAGGCCTCCATCTCGCCCTTCGTCCTGGTGAGCTCGTCGGTGGAGAAGTGCTCACTGTCGAGGCCCATCTTCGTGCCCCAGAACTGCTCTTCGAAGCTGCGATGCACCTGCTCGTACCCGGTGTTGGTAGCGTCGATGAACGCCTGCAGCCCCGCCGCCGCGGAGCCCTCGGCGGTGCCCTCGGCACGGACGGCGACGTGCCTGCACCACCTCTTGAGACGCTTCTGCCGTGCCTGGTTGTGGGCCAGTGCTGCGGCGCCTGCGGCGGCAGCCAGGACGATGCCGCTGCCGGCGCTGGGCGCCGTGGCGACGCCCGCGGCCAGCCTGCGGCTCGCCAGCGCCGCTGCCGCGGCCGGCGCCGCGTCGCCGCTCGCGGCGCGCGCCCTGGGCGCCGCGAGGCCGGCGGCGCCTGGCCGCCCAAGCTGTGCTGGGCGCATGGCAGACATCGCGAGGTCGAGGAGGAGGAGTAGGAGAGGAGGAGGAGGAGGGGGGGGAGGAGGGGGAGGAGGAGGAGGGAGGAGAGGAGGAGGAGGAGGAGGAGGAGGAGGAGGAGGAGGAGGAGGAGAGGGGAGGAGAGGAGGAGGAGGAGGAGGAGGGAGGAGGAGGAGGAGCAGGAGGAGGCGAGGGCTCGTCTTGAGCCCAAACTGCCGGAGCCGAGGCTGCGGGAGGACACGCGGCACGTACATGATCTATGCAGGCCTCCTCAGGGACAGTGCTTGAAATGGCCTCTCATGGTGAGGCGATCGTCATGCCTCCTCATCCTCCCCGTTTTCTCTTCTTCCTCCTGCTCCCCCTGTTATGTTTCCTGCTCCTGCTCCTGCTCCTGCTCCTGCTCTTCCTCCTCCTCCTCCTCCTCCTCCTCCTCCTCCTCATCGTCACCATTACCATCAGCGGCATCACCATCATCGTCACCATCGCCACTATCATCGGCACACCAGAGTGCCCAGCTCCAAAAGACATCCAAGAGGCTCCCACAAATTGACCAGACTTGGGCTTTGGGCTGTGCTCGGGCTGGTCCGTTCTTTGATCGCCCCCCCTCTTCATCTCACAGGGACAGGATGGTGCATACGTTCAGAAGCCTTGCGGTAAGAAGTCTAGGGGCAGACTGGTCGATCGATGTCGGATGTCGCGGGATGCCCATAACTGCAATGACCCAGAGATCCGACGTCGTGATTTTTTTCAATACGGGGTCCCCAAAAGTCTCGACCCATTCCCCAGGACCGGTTTCTCATCCTGAGTCGTTTTTTGACGGTCCCAGGGCCCGGCGAGGGCCCCTCGAGGCCGAAAAAGAAGAAAAACCTCCGTCTTGATTTTTTCAATGCGTTGGATCCCTGGGGAGTGCACAGGGTCGCTGGGGGGCAGGAGATCTCCGTGGGGGCACTCGGGAACAAAGAGATCTTCGCGGGGCACCTGCTGGGCCTGCTGTCTGGGCGTGCCTCCTGTACTCCTCCGCCTCCTTCCCCTTGGGCAGGCGCGCTCCGCCACTCGCAGATCAACTGCTCGCAAACCGCCTGGATCTGCCGCGGGTGATCTACGATGTATTTTGGCGGCGCGCAAGAGGGGGTGGGGGGAGGGGGGAGGGCCTCTTAGAAGGAGGCTGCTTCTGAGAAGCCCTCCCTGCGCCCCCCCCCCCCCCCTCTGCGCGTGGCTGAATATTGCACAGAGGAGGGCCCGGCGTTTTCGGACGCCTGCGAGTGGGCCCTGTGCGAGCCGTCGAGCGCGCTCGGCGATTCCCGGAGCCGACGCTCCGACACGCAATCTCTTGAGAGGGCGCTGGGAGCCCAGACCCCCTCGAGTAATGAAAAATCACGACGGGAGGTTTTTGTCCTAAGTCTCGGCCTCCGGGGGCCCTCGCCGGGCCTCGGGAGCGCCAGAAAACGACTCGGGAGGCAAAGCCCGTCGTGGGGAAGGGGTCGGGACCTCTGGGGGTCGACGTAATGAAAAAATCATTACGTCGGGGGTCTGGGAGTACTGGACGCGCCAAGCCCAGACCCCCGACGTAATGATTTTTTCATTACGGCGACCCCCAGAGGTCCCGACCCTCTCCCCATGACCGGCTTGGCATCCTGAGTCGTTTTTTGGCGCTCCCGAGGCCCGGCGAGGGCCCCCGGAGGCCGAAAAGTAGGAAAAACCTCCCGTCGTGATTTTTTCATTACTCGAGGAGGTCTGGGAGTACTGGGCGCGCCAAAGGGCTCTCCGTGCCGGGAGCGCCCTGCCCCGGCCGAGCGCCCGGGGCCTTCAGCTCCGCCAGGAGGCTCTCGGTGCCGCCGATGATGGCCGAGATCACCTCGCCGGCCGCAGGGAGCGCTCCGGGAGCTGGTCGGGAGCGGCCAAGGGGTGACTACCTACCAGACCACCCCAACCCAACCCGAAGACCCGAATTTCGGGTTGGGGGGGGTAAGGGTTCCACACGTGTTTTTTCGACGTTTCCCGACCCCCCCCCAACTAGAAATCGAGGATAAATTTGGACCTTCGGGTTGGGTTGGGGTGGTTTGGTGGGTGGTGAAGAGGGGGGGGCGTCCAAGAGGGGGGGGGTCGCAAATCATGGCCAGGGGTAAGTCGGGCGTGTCTCCCTACAGGGGGATCTTCGACGAAAAGTAAAAGATAGTCCACAAGTACACCCCAACATGGTCAACAAATGCTAAGAAAATCGTCCCCAGACTATTTTTTGACTATTTCTGAATATTCGTCCTGTAGAGGGACAGGCCCGATTTCAAAACTGGGCGGGAGCGGCCAAGAGGGGGGGCGTCCGCGAGGGGGGGGTCGCAAATCATGGCCAGGCGTAAGTCGGGCGTGTCCCTCTACAGGGGGATTTTGGGTGAAAAATCATAAATAGTCCAACAATGCCCTAAAATACAAAAAAATGTCAAAACATCGTCCCCAGACGATTTTTTGACTTTTTTTTGAATACTCCCCCTGTAGAGGGACAGGCCCGACTTCAGGCCAGGGGCAGTGCGCGGCCCAGGGGGGGGGGGGGGCAGGGACGTGCTGAAATAAGAAGAGGCGCCATGAAATCTGGGGAGATGTCATCGCCCCCGTCAAGATACCCCCCCCCTTTAGGAGGCATTTGCTGGGAGGTGTTCGTCGGAAGGACTAAAGAGGATTTTAAGCCCCACTTGGGAGCTATGACGCCGGAGTGGGCCTCGGATTGAATGGGATTAGGCCGGGTTGAACGGGATTCAGCGGGACTTTAAGCCGGATTCAGCGGGATTTAGCCGGATTAAGCCGAATTAAGCCGGATTTCGGACCAGGGCGAAAACAGAATTTGACCTCCCAGGAGTTGCATCCGACCCCCCCCGCCCTAGTCACCATCCCCCTCTTGGCCGCCCCCGAATCGGGGAGGAGAAGCACAGACCTCCGACGTCACGATTTTTTCATAACGTGAACCCCCAACTGTGTCGACCCACTCCCCGGGACCGGTTTCTCATCCGGAGTCGTTTTTTGACGGTCCCGAGATCCCGCAGGAATGGAAGCGGCAGAAGGGGGGGAATCGAGGAGGGCCCTGGGGGGGCAGAGGGAAGGGGAGGGGAGGGGCGGGGGGGGGGCACAAGGCGTCTCCGGCACGCCACTTTGACAAGAGGAAAGTCTGCGGTGGCTGCTGGCCCCACCAATTCCTCGGAGCAGGAGTACAGTCGAGACGCGTTCATCAGGAACCCTAAAAAGGAACGAGCCCCTTCTTCCTCCATAACTCCGATTCCCCATTGAGAGCCGAAGGAGAAGCTGAGACAAACTGCGAAACAATGAAGGAACACTGAGCCCCTCTTCAACGAGAAGGGCTCCATACTTAGCTGCCCCGATACGCAAAACGCAACACGTATCGTATTGATACGGAGCTCAACACGTAGGCTGAAAACGCAGGTCTGACGCGATACTGTCGCCAGAACGTGGTCGAATACGTGGAGCCAACACGCAACGCATTGACACGGACGTCTTGGACACGGGACGTGTTGCGTCTCAAAACGCGCGTGTCGAGGCAACTAAGGTTCCATATTCAGCGGCACGACTGTAGAATTAAGTCGGGCGTGTCCCCCAACAAGGGGATTTTGGGCGAAAAAACAAAAATACTCAACAAAAATCCCCCAAAATTGGGAAAACTAGTCAAAAAATAGTCCCCAGACTATTTTTTAACTATTTCTGAATATCCCCTGTAGAGGGACACGTCCGACTTAACTGTAGAAGCCCTCCAAGGGGGGTCCGAGCACCCAGACGGGGTCGGAGGATCGCGCCGCCTCGGCGATGCATCGGCGATGCATCGGCGATGCCTCGGCGGCGCCTCGGCGACGTCTGCGCGGAGAGAATCGAGCCCCAAATCGAGCAGCATCGCCGATGCATCGGCGATATGGCTCCTGGGCTCACGGCCTTATCGATCGAGATGAATGGCGCGTTTTGTAGACCTCCCGCGTCCAGTCGCAAGGCCGC